GCACCGCCGAGCCGAACCGCCCGGGCACCGCGGCCCCACGGGCGGGCAGGGCAGGGCAGAGCCGGGCAGGGCAGGGCAGGGCGGCCGCGGGCCCGGGGGCCTCACCTGGCTCGGAGCGGGACCAGGGCGATAAAGAGAGCGCCGCCTACCCTCGGGGCCGGCCCCGCCGGCCGCCGCCGCTCCCGTTGTCTCCGGGCTCACGAGAAGAGAAGCGCAGCGCCGCCCCGCGTCCTGCGCGGCCGCTGCCGCCCCGCCCTGCGGCACTTAGCCCGGCAGGGAAGGCGGGCGAGCCCCCGGCCCGGCCCGGCCCGGCCCCCGCCCGGCGCCGCGGCGGAACTGACCTCAGCGCGCCCCGCCCGCCGCCGCGTAGAGCTCTACTGAGCCCGGCACCTGCCCGGGTTCGGCACCCCGCAGACCCTGCACCCTGCGAGCCCTGCACTCCATGGGCCCTGCACCCTGCGGACTCTGCATCCTGTGGGCCCTGCACCCTGCGAGCCCTGCACTCCATGGGCCCGGCACCCCGCGGGCCCGAACGGGGACAGAGCGCTCTGCTGTGGGGAGCTGCACCCCTGGGTGCTGCCCGCTGTCCGCCCCTCCGCTCTGTGACACAGCAGGCCAAAGGATGCGCTGCTGTTCCCAATAACCTCTCTACATCCCTTCCGATCGCGTTGTGTTTGGTGTGGGCACACATTTCATGGGTATGGCTCAGTGAAGTACTACAATGGTGGAGTAGTTGTGTGGTTTTTTCAGATCCTTCCTATGAAATCCAGATTTCTTTTGAAATAGGGTGTTCTTGGCCAAATTTGAAGGCAAAAAAAAAAAAGAGGATTTAACTAAATGCATCTTGCCCTCTAAAAGTACCTTTGATGTCGCTGCAATATCAAATCACTCCACTTAAAAAATAAACCATATCTAACACAGGGCCCAAAGTCTTGCCACATGAGGTCTTTGAAATGAAGCTTTGTGGTACATGTCTTCAAAGTTGAGCTCTGTGTCAATGATTGTTTCAGTCATCTGTGTGATGACTGAAATCAGAAAGAGTAAGTTACCTTTTCCAATGTGTTCTCTACTGGATTGATTTGAGAGTGCTTTATCTTGTCTAGGCATGGACACACATCTTCAGGAATCTTGGATTTTGGGATAGGCTCTTCAGATCACCAAAAAAAAAAAAAAAAAAAAAAAAAGGGAAAGCTACAGATAGAGAAGTGTGGGGGAAAAGAATCCTCTCAACTGTGACTTTTTTAGTTCCAAAATGAGATGTTGCCCTCAACAGTCTGTTACATCTTTTGATTAGCAGTGTAAGAAAGCACTCCTAATGACAGTTCAGAACACTGTAATTTACTGAATATTTTTAAACTTGTGAAGAAGGTCTTCTGGCTGACAGAGCCTTTTGGGATTTCTAGAAGGTTTTTGACAAAGACTGTCAAAGAAACTAAACAGTAATGGCATAAGACCACATATCTTGGCATGAATAGCTGGTTAAAGATGGAGTGGACGTGTGGTCCTTGTAGCACGGAGATGGTGGTGCACCTGTTTCAATCTCTGCTTGGACCTGCTCAGCGTACAAGTGACTTGAAAAGGGAGCTGTGCACTCAAGCGACAGCCTTCTGATCATACCAAGCTGTTCAGGGACTTAAGGGCAAAAGCCAAAAAGATCTGCAAAAGGACATTATGCAGCTGARTAACTAGGCAGTAAAAGGGCAGATTAGATATTGGATAGATAAGTGATGCACAGTGAGGAAAAACATACTAACTTCAAATAAAAAAGTCATCAACTCTGAGCTGACAAGAATTGCAARAGGGGCAAAATCTTGGCCTTAGAAAAAGTTTCTGTGAAAATCTCACTTCAGTGCTTGAATTCATAAAAATAAGCCGTATGCTGAGATTTGGAAAAGARCAGAGAACAAAGCAGTGTAATGCTGCTGTGTAAAATCATGATTTAACACATTTTAAAAGCTCTTAGAGTCTCTATGTTCCCTCAGTTCAGGAAAAACAGAATAGTAGTGGAAAGGGTTTAATGAAAGGTGAAAAGAATGATCAAAGGTATTTTGCTCTCAACTTTCACGTAAGGAACAGCTAAGTCAACTTCTGTCTGAAAAAAAAAAAAAAAATATTGCCATTGATATAATAAAGGCTAAAAATCAGGAGTAGATCATTGTAATTGTGGGCAGTTACAGCTGGAAGTTGTGTATGTGGATCCCATGGAAGCCACCAGAGACAATTTACAATTACTGTCAGCTATTCTGCAAAGGTGATAATGTAGTGTTATAAAAATTTGCTTCCCTAGCTGTTATATCAGTCAGTCTTTGTAAAATGAACATGTATTCACTTTGTTACTATGTATTAGTTCACATAATACAATGAAATGGAATGAGATAGTGAAATTTTAYTAGAGACTTTGGGTTTTTTCATGCTCAAGTAAATTCACCTAAAGGACAGCCCAGCCCTGGAAATAAGGACTTTGCTTCTTGGAAGCACAGAACTGTCCACAAAAGATAAAGGACATCCATGGACAGCCCGGATAAAGCCAGAATTCTAGCCACTCGAACATATCTTTGAAACCCTCCTAGTGTTATCTGGCAAAACTGACCCCAGGGACATCTGGATCAATAGACAAGCAGCAAGAATGCTGCAGAAATACAGTTGTATGGCAAAAATYTATTATGATTAGAAATCAACCATGTGGGTCTCAGTTATTAGTCAAATCAGAGTGGTTGAAGGGTCTAAGAACCCTGTGTAAARCCACATTCAGGGTGACCCAGTTTGGCTGGGACACTCCTGCACTTGAATAAATATTTACTTTTGTAATTCTATACTTTGTTTCCTGGACTCTCTTGGTCAGCAACAATTGTTGCAAAGTTTGATAGAAGTGGACTGCACTTAACAGATCGGTTTTTTCGAAGCCAGAAAAATTAGGAACATTCCTAAAAKACAAAATTATAATGTTTAACACAATAATTCAATAAATAGTTTGCAGGTCAACAGGTTTGTTCACCTTGTCTATCTGTATCTGAAAAAGTCTGGACTGTACTAAATATACTTCATATCGGTGAAATGGAATCAGTTATCTGATACTCACTGCTGATTAAGCACTTCTGTCTTTCTTTCTTAGATATRTGAAGCTAGCCAACTCTGAGGTTAGAATGGCCATTTCCTGAAATAAATGCAAATAAAAAATTTMATATTTAAATAAAGCCAAACTAAAAAATGTCACCTAGAAATAATATGGAATGCTCGAGAGACAATTTGCATCTTCCTCAGTGTTTTCCAGCTACAAAAATTCAGTCCCTCCCCAGCATTTTCTAATCCTGAGTTTAAAGCAACTCGATTTCGCTTCCGTGTCACAAGAATGCTCTCTTCTTTGCAGACACGAGTTAGACGCGATCACATCAGATCATAGCGCCTCTCTCTCGCTTAGGCTCCAGTCCTGAACCAACTTAGAACACCAGAGAGGAAGTCATTCTCCCGCAGTTTCCATCTTATCCATCCCCTTTGGTGAGCCATTTGCAAGCCAGCTTTGGTGACCTCTGAATTCCCAGYTCTTGCCTGGTCTTTTGTTCCTTCTCAGTTTGTCCTGTGACTCAGCACCCGCAGTGGTGGTTAGGTGCTCTTGAGCTTTCCTGATGAGGATCCTAAAGGGAGGATTGTCACTTAGTAATGCCGAGGCTCGTTAGCTGATGGCAGTGCTGCTAATTGGCAAAAGAAGCAGCATTCGAGCAAGTAGCCTCTTTAACTTCCTGCATCCTTTGCAGCATTGCTGTCCGTGAAACTGCTCCTGTCACATGCTGTGGGACACCCTCACATCGGGAATTCACCACGACTCAGTTGCTGCTGTTTGTCCTGTTGCAATCCTGCATTCCTTTCCATCCTCTAACAAGATTATCTGACATGAAATGCTGATTGTTGTGTGCGGATCCATGAGAAACACACATAGACAGAATCAAAGAATCACAGAGTGGGTGAGATTGGGAAGGACTGCAATGGGTCATCTGGTCCATCCTCCCTCCCTGCTCAAGCAGGGTCATCCTAGAGCACTTTGCCCAGGATTGCATCCAGAAGGTTCTTGAAGATCTCCAATGAGACTTAACTATGCTGGGTAGAACATTTGGGCTTATGGGGTAAAAAAAACTTTGTAAGCATTCAGAGCACTTAGAAAAGAGAAATACAATCTTCGTTTTCCAAAATGTGCACACAATGACAATAGTCGGTATTTAAAATAGCAAGAGCAGAAGTTTCAGTTCTGAATTTCCCAGCCCCGCATATTGCAGGCTTGGACTTTGAAACTGAAGGAGCCAGCTGAGTTGTTGCTTTGCGTTTCTGCAGCTGCTCTTCATGCTGTTTGGTATGTTCCCTCTTCAACTGGCTGAGCAAAGTGCATATAACATATGACGGATTCTGGAGGTTTCTTTAGATACRCGGTGCTGCTGATGAGCAGATCTCTTCCTCCTGCTGCTTTGCTGGATTGGAGGGYATTAGGATCACTCGGAAGAGTCAGGAGGAGCTGACACACGACGATGTTCGTTCGTGCACCCGCGTTTGTGCGATCCCCGCGGAGCCCCGAGCGCCCGACTCGCGGTTCTCTGCTGCCCTCCGGTGGCCATCGCTGTCCCGTCCTGCCTCGAGGAAATTACAATTCCAGTCTCGCGGAAAAGAAAACACAAGTCTCTGTCGTTTTTCTGTCCTCTCTTGCCCCGACATCTCTAGTATTTCCACCTATGTTCCCGTTCGTCGGTGACCCCACCATCCCAYAAATAATATCTCTTCTCCACCCCAAAGCGCGCACACAAAGCCTCGCCCCYGTGTTCCTGAGCCACGTGGCAGCGCCTCTGCTGCCTCTCGCCAAGCAAAACACATTTGGATGGCTGCTAGCAAGCAGTGCAGTGTGGCTACTTGGATTAAGTTGGTTGCTCCTCCAGAAAGCAGCCAGGTTTTACAGTCTTACAGAAAACACCTCAGCTCATTTATCAAATTGTTTGATT